TGTGTGGGGGAGGGAACTTAGAACAGAGCCTGGAACTGTGTGTGGAGGGTAGCGAGAACTTAGATCACAGGAGCCTAGGAACTGTGTGTGGAAGGTAGCGGGGAACTTAGATCACAGGAGCCTAGGAACTGTGTGGAGGGTAGCGGAGAACTTAGATCACAGGAGCCTAGGAACTGTGTGTGGAGGGTAGCGGAGAACTTAGATCACAGGAGCCTAGGAACTGTGTGTGGAGGGTAGCGGAGAACTTAGATCACAGGAGCCTAGGAACTGTGTGTGGAGGGTAGCGGAGAACTTAGATCACAGGAGCCTAGGAACTGTGTGTGGAGGGTAGCGGGGAACTTAGATCACAGGAGCCTAGGAACTGTGTGTGGAGGGTAGCGGAGAACTTAGATCACAGGAGCCTAGGAACTGTGTGTGGAGGGTAGCGGAGAACTTAGATCACAGGAGCCTAGGAACTGTGTGTGGAGGGTAGCGGAGAACTTAGATCACAGGAGCCTAGGAACTGTGTGTGGAGGGTATTCGGAGAACTTAGATTCACAGGAGCCTAGGAACTGTGTGTGGAGGGTTAGCGGAGAACTTAGATCACAGGAGCCTAGGAACTGTGTGTGGAGGGTAGCGGAGAACTTAGATCACAGGAGCCTAGGAACTGTGTGTGGAGGGTAGCGGGGAACTTAGATCACAGGAGCCTAGGAACTGTGTGTGGAGGGTAGTGGAGAACTTAGATCACAGGAGCCTAGAAACTACGTGTGGAAGGTAGCGGAGAACTTAGATCACAATAGCCTAGGAACTGTGTGTGGAGGGTATTGGAGAACTTAGATCACAGGAGCCTAGGAACTGTGTGGAGGGTAGCGGAGAACTTAGATCACAGGAGCCTAGGAACTGTGTGTGGAAGGTAGCGGGGAACTTAGATCACAGGAGCCTAGGAACTGTGTGGAGGGTATTGGAGAACTTAGATCACAGGAGCCTAGAAACTAGGTGTGGAAGGTAGCGGAGAACTTAGATCACAATAGCCTAGGAACTGTGTGTGGAGGGTAGCGGAGAACTTAGATCACAGGAGCCTAGGAACTGTGTGTGGAGGGTAGCGGAGAACTTAGATCACAGGAGCCTAGGAACTGTGTGGAGGGTAGCGGAGAACTTAGATCACAGGAGCCTAGGAACTGTGTGTGGAGGGTAGCGGAGAACTTAGATCACAGGAGCCTAGGAACTGTGTATGGAGGGTAGCAGAGAACTTAGATCACAGGAGCCTAGGAACTAGGCGCTTGTAGATCACAGGAGCCTAGGAACTAGGCGCTTGTAGATCACAGGAGCCTAGGAACTAGGCGCTTGTAGATCACAGGAGCCTAGGAACTAGATATGGAGGGTAGCGGGGAACCTAGATTACAGGGGCCTCGGAACTAGGTGCTTGTAGATCACAGGAGCCTAGGAACTGTGTGTGGAGGGTAGCGGGGAACTTAGATCACAGGAGCCTAGGAACTGTGTGTGGAGGGTAGCGGAGAACTTAGATCACAGGAGCCTAGGAACTGTGTGTGGAGGGTAGCGGGGAACTTAGATCACAAGAGCCTAGGAACTGTGTGTGGAGGGTAGTGGAGAACTTAGATCACAGGAGCCTAGGAACTGTGTGGAGGGTATGAGACTTAGATCAAGGGCTAGAACTGGGTGGAAGGTAGCGGGAATTAGATCACATAGCCTAGGAACTGTGTGTGGAAGGTAGCGGGGAACTTAGATCACAGGAGCCTAGGAACTGTGTGGAGGGTATTGGAGAACTTAGATCACAGGAGCCTAGGAACTGTGTGGAGGGTATCGGAGAACTTAGATCACAGGAGCCTAGGAACTGTGTGTGGAGGGTAGCGGAGAACTTAGATCACAGGAACCTAGGAACTGTGTGATGGAGGGTAGCGAGAACTTAGATCACAGGACCTAGGAACTGGGTGTAGGAAGGGTAGCTGGAGACACTGTAGATCACAGGAGCCTAGGTTCTAGGCGCTTGTAGATCACAGGAGCGAACTTATGGGAACAGGCGCTTGTAGTGGATCACAGGAGCCTAGGAACTAGGCGCTTGTAGATCACAGGAGCCTAGGAACTAGGCAGCTTGTAGATCACAGGAGCCTAGGAACTAGGAGTTGTAGATCACAGGAGCCTAGGAACTAGGAGTTGTAGATCACAGGAGCCTAGGAACTAGGAGCTTATAGGGTTAACAAGAGTAAGTTTTGATGTATATTGTTTGGAGAAGTATATGTCAGAGTATACTCTTAATATTTACTTAAGTATGCTGTAACTTTTATAAGTTCGTGATACCTGCCTTGATATGTCTGGTATCTTATTTGAATTATTAAGATTATCTTGGCATACAAGTTACTATATCAACTGTATAGTCTTCAGTAAATCGACAAAGTTCAGTGTTGAAGTGACTGTAAGGCTGACATGTGTTACACGTATGTTGCTGATCATCTGTCAGACTGTCAGAAGTACAGTGGACCCCCGGTTAACGATATTTTTTCACTCCAGAAGTATGTTCAGGTGCCAGTACTGACCGAATTTGTTCCCATAAGGAATATTGTGAAGTAGATTAGTCCATTTCAGACCCCCAAACATACACGTACAAACGCACTTACATAAATACACTTACATAATTGGTCGCATTCGGAGGTGATCGTTATGCGGGGGTCCACTGTACTTGTAACCAAGCCTAAGCTTGGCTACTGTATAACTGAAATTTTCTCTTATACGTTTAAAGATATATTTTTTTCATTAATGTTAATGTAAAAAAAATTAATTTTGCACCAAAAGAATCTTAGAAAACTTACCTAACCTTATGATAACAAGAGCAATTTATTTTAGCCTAACCTAACTAAATATGTTTTAGATTTGTTTACAGTAATTTAATACTAAACAAACACAGTGAAATATATTTTTTTTCGTTAGGTTCAGAATGATTTTGGCGAAATTATTGCATACAAATTTTCGCTTGTCTTATATGGCAAAATGAGCGTTGCTATTTAAGCCAAGATCGCAAGTTCTGCCTATTCGGCACGACATATATACATACATAAATACATACACAGACACATGAATAACACTTGCGAAGAAGTCTACGGGGTTTTCCTGCCTTGTTTCAGTTACTTCCTTGGGCATTATATATATGTCGAGCAGTATATGTAAAACTGGTCAGTTAGCAAGAACTCGTTTAAAATTAAGTCCTTTCTGAAATTTTCTCTTATACGTTTAAAATGTATTTTTTTTCATTTATGTTAATATAAAAAATAATGATTGTACCAAAGGTATCTTAGAAAACTTATCTAACCTTATTATAACAAGCGCAATTAAATTTAGCCTAATCCAACTAAATATATTTTAGATACATTTACAATAATTCAATAAAGCCAACGAAATATATTTTTGCGTTAAGTACAGAAAGATTTTTGCGAAATTATTGCATTTACAAATTTTCACTTGTCTTATTCGGCAAGAAGAGCGTTGCTATTTAAGCCAAAATCGCAAGTTTTACCTATTCGGCACGAAATATATATATATATATATATATATATATATATATATATATATATATATATACGTAATATAATATATTGAGAGGGCGGAAGGAAAACATAGAGATATGTGTGTAGCAGAGCAGCCTGACTATGGTGAGCATCCAAGACAGTGAGGAGGATGTTGTGCAGGTTAGTGAGTGGTTGCAGCCAGAGAGACTCGTATCGTGAAGCAGGATAGTTGTGCAGGTTAGTGAGTGGTTGCAGCCAGAGAGACTCGTATCGTGAAGCAGGATAGTTGTGCAGGTTAGTGAGTGGTTGCAGCCAGAGAGACTCGTATCGTGAAGCAGGATAGTTGTGCAGGTTAGTGAGTGGTTGCAGCCAGAGAGACTCGTATCGTGAAGCAGGATAGTTGTGTAGGTTAGTGAGTGGTTGCAGCCAGGGAGACTCGTATCGTGAAGCAGGATAGTTGTGCAGGTTAGTGACTGGTTGCAGCCAGGGAGACTCGTATCGTGAAGCAGGATAGTTGTGCAGGTTAGTGACTGGTTGCAGCCAGGGAGACTCGTATCGTGAAACAGGGATACTTGGAACTCTTCCATGTGACCAGCAGACTTGCGGCTCCACCACCAGCAGTAACAGCAGCAGCAGCAGAACTAGACACAGAAGCAGTAGCAATCAGCAACAGTAGAAGTAGCAGCAAAACTAGAAACAGCAGGTCTGCCTCAACAACAACCAACATTTCTCTCTCGTGTGACAGTTGGAATAATAACTGATGAGTGAGTGTTGGACTCCGTCCTGTCCACCTCAAACTTTCAACTATCTGACCCCACACCTTCCTCGGAGTTTTTGTGTCAGAGAGAGAGAGAGAGAGAGAGAGAGAGAGAGAGAGAGAGAGAGAGAGAGAGAGAGAGAGAGAGAGAGAGAGAGCATTACTTAACCTTCACGTCAATATATATGTCACAAAAATGCACTAAGGGTGTGATTAGTGTAGATTCCTGTAATCTGGCGACCATTATCAACAATGACCAGGAAGGCCAAACAAAACCATTAATTGTCTGGGTTTCACTGTTCCTACTCACCCACCTGAGTAAGGTGGTGTGACTCACCCACCAGAGTAAGGTGGTGTGACTCACCCACCTGAGTAAGGTGGTGTGACTCACCCACCTGAGTAAGGTGGTGTGACTCACCCACCTGAGTAAGGTGGTGTGACTCACCCACCTGAGTAAGGTGGTGTGACTCACCCACCTGAGTAAGGTGGTGTGACTCACCCACCTGAGTAAGGTGGTGTGACTCACCCACCTGAGTAAGGTGGTGTGACTCACCCACCAGAGTAAGGTGGTGTGACTCACCCACCAGAGTAAGGTGGTGTGACTCACCCACCAGAGTAAGGTGGTGTGACTCGCCCACCAGAGTAAGGTGGTGTGACTCACCCACCAGAGTAAGGTGGTGTGACTCACCAACCTGAGTAAGGTGGTGTGACTCACCCACCTGAGTAAGGTGGTGTGACTCACCCACCTGAGTAAGGTGGTGTGACTCACCCACCAGAGCAAGGTGGTGTGACTCGCCCACCTGAGTAAGGTGGTGCGACTCGCCCACCTGAGTAAGGTGGTGCGACTCGCCCACCTGAGTAAGGTGGTGCGACTCGCCCACCTGAGTAAGGTGGTGCGACTCGCCCACCTGAGTAAGGTGGTGCGACTCGCCCACCTGAGTAAGGTGGTGCGACTCGCCCACCAGAGTAAGGTGGTGTGACTCACCCACCTGAGTAAGGTGGTGTGACTCACCCACCTGAGTAAGGTGGTGTGACTCACCCACCTGAGTAAGGTGGTGTGACCCACCAGAGCAAGATGGTGTGACTCACCAACCTGAGTAAGGTGGTGTGACTCACCCACCTGAGTAAGGTGGTGTGACTCACCAACCTAAGTATGGTACCCTCCAACACTAATGTACTCTGTGTCGCACTCAACTGGTTTCACTCGTTTAGGTGTACTCACGTAGCTGTACTCGGGTAGTTGAGCTCTTTGAAACACTGCTGGAACAAGTGTAGAAGCCTTCAAGAGGAAACTGAACAAGTGCCAGATCAGCCAGGCTGTGATGGATATGTGGGCCATCTGCAGCAACAGCCTGGTTGACCAAGGAAACACCACACGAGCTTAGTCACAAACTGGTTACAGATGTATCACAGGGGTTGTATAGTCTTGCAGTACGGGTGTTGAATGTGTTTTGTTTTGTGCCCATGGTGTCCCTTTCTTGTGCCCATGGTGTCCCTTTCTTGTGCCAATAGTGTCCCTTTCTTGTACCCATGGTGTCCCTTTCTTGTGCCCATAGTTTCCCTTGTGCCCATAGTGTCCCTTGTGCCCATAGTGTCCCTTGTGCCCATAGTGTCCCTTGTGCCAATAGTGTCCCCTGCTTTGTACCCATGTCACCCCTTTTTTCACCCTGTTACTGTTTTACACTTCCTCTCTTATTTCTCACTCTGGTACGTTGCTTTAGTATTGTGTATATCTGAGTCCAGCCTCTCCAGTATCTTCCTTGTGTACATCACAGACCTCCATATCTGGCTACCTTGCAGTGCTCTGGATATCTGGCTAGCTCTTAGACTGGGTATGTAGCTTCAGCCTAGATATCTCCCTGACAGGCTTTGTGCCGGTTGGCTGGCATGGGTATCTAGTTGGCTAGTAGCCAGGGTAACTAGCTAGTTAACTGCCTGTATACCGGCTGGCTGGCATGGTTTTCTAATTGACTAGCAGCTAGGGTATCTAGGTGTTAACTGGCTGTGTGCCGGCTGGCCGGCACGGGCATCTAGTTGGCTAGTAGCCAGGATATCTAGCTAGTTAACTGGCTGTGTGTTAGCTGGCTGGTATGGATATCTAGTTGGCTAGTGGCCAGGGTATCTAGCTAGTTAACTGGCTGTGTGCCGGCTGGCTGGCCTGGGTATCTTGCTGGCTGGCTAGCTGGCTGGAGGGTTGAACGGAGCTACAGATCAATAGAAGAGCATTGCGCCTGACACGCTGGAACCTGCGCTGTGAGTGTGTGTGAGAGAGAGAGAGAATGTGTGTGTGTGTGTGTGTGTTTGTGTGTGTGTGTGTGATGATGACAGTATGTGGTAGCTCCAGCCACGGTCCAGGGCCGTGCTTCTCCACTCTGCACGTCTCGCACACTCGTCTCCAACGGCAACAGCATCACCAACACTCCAGTCAATTGTTGTTGTATGGATCTACCACTGATGGAGTATGCGCGCCGTAGTTCTACGTTTGGAAGCTGCGTTTAACCTCCTACCGGAGTTCAAGACCGAACCAGTGTCAAAGGGACATACCTCTCTATCCTTCTAAATTCAGGGGCATCGCCCCTAAAATCTATGGGTTGGTGTGAATAGGGAAAGGTTGGATGTGTGGGTAAGGGTGCCGGATAATCCATCCTCCGCCACCTGTCTTCCTTCACCATGATACCAGTTACAGTGTGACATACACCCATCTCTCCCTCCTCTCTCCATCACAAGGTAAGTGATTCTCCATCACTCTTCTCCCTCCCACGGGCTCTTTCCCTGCTGGATATATTGTGCAAGACGTTGAAAATACTTGAGACATGAAAGTCGGTGTAGGAACCGAGACCCCCAGCTGACAACAGTGCTAACACCAGCTGACAACACTGCTGACACCAGCTGAGTGAAGCTTCGGGACCTACTGATTTTTTTACAGTATGGCACCAGAGGGAAGCTACAGATGGTTACCCTGTGCAACTGTGCAACAGATGGTTTCCCCTGATACACAGATTGGCACCGTTTGAAAGTAAGTCTCAGATGGGTACTTCTTAAATGGACAAAAACTGTCGCCTTGCCTGACAGATGGTATTCCTGTAAATCGAAAGGTAATCACAGATGGTTACCATGTAGCTGGTTAACTACCGGTTAAACAGGTACTGTTCAGAAGTCACTTACAGATGGTTACTTTCTATATTGTTATACACGTGTCTATAGAAAGGTGTTACAGATGGTTACCATGTAACTAGTGACATTAATTACCTGCAGAGCTGGTTAAAGATAGTTACGTGATATTTCAATTACCATTAGTGTTGCAGATGGTTAAGTTACTATTCCCGTGTACGTCGTTACTATTCTCGTGTACGTCGTCACTGTACCCATGTACGTCAAGTTATTGTACCCGTGTACGTCAAGTTATTGTACTCATGTACGTCAAGTTACTGTACCCGTGTACGTAAAGTTATTTGTCACCATCGTAAGAAAGTGATGATTCTCTCTCACTCTCTTCCCTTCTCTCTCTCTCCCTCTCTCTCCCCCTCCCTCTCCCCGTCCCTCTCCCCCTCTCTCTCTGCCTCCCCTTCCTTCTCCCCTCTCCCTGGAATGAACACGCGCCTGTGCCTCAACCAGCTGACTGGTTTCATTGCACATGTCTGACTGCCACCCCTTGCTGGCGTGTGTGTGTGTGTGTGTGTGTGTGTGTGTTGTGTGTGTGTGTGTGTGTGTGTGTGTGTGTGTGTGTGTGTGTGTGTGTGTGTGTGTGTAATGGGGAGGTACCACCACAGTTTAGGAGAAGACAATGTGCTTCAGGAAGAATGCTAGACCAGATGAACTATGAGGTTTGAGGAAGGTTTGGGAATGTTTCGACCAAGGGGGTATATATTGAAACATGTCAGTGAACGATATTTCGAGAAAGATGACCTTTTTTGTTGCATTTATGGATTTAAATTATAAAGTGGATAGGGGAGCACTGAGGCAGATGTTGCAAGTATATGAAGTAAGTGGTAGGCTACTGAACACGGTAGATAGTTTGTGTTTATAGTGAGGATCAGAGTATGTAGGGTAGAGGGGGAATTATTTTCCAGGAAAGGTAGGCCTTAGACAGGGATAAAGGTAGGTCGTAGACAGGGATGAAGGTAGGTCTTAGGCAGGGATATTTGGTGTCAGCATGGTTTAACGTGTTTATAAATAATGCTTTTAAAAGAAGTGTGTGCTAGGATGTTAGGGAGAGATGCGGGATTAAAATGTGAAGAATGTTACAGAAGGAGAGTTGTCACAGTTGTTTTTTGCTGATGATTCTGTGCCTTTGGGAGATTCTGATAAAAAAAAATACTTGGCAGTGAAAGGTTGGATATAAAGATTGGAGGGAGTGTAGAGGAACTGAATGTGTTAAGATATTTGGGAGTAGACTTGGCAGTAGACTGGTCTGTGGAAAAATGAGCTAAACTATAGAATTTACGAGGGAAAATGTGTGGTGCATTGAAACATCTGTGGATACAGAAAAGAACTCATCCATATAGACAAGGGAGAATTTGTTAGATAAAAGGACACTAAGTGCAACAAATGTGACGTTTTATTGTGGTAATGTTTCGCTCCTGGAGCTTTGTCAAGCTGTAACAGCTTGATAAAGCTCCTGGAGAGCGAAACGGCCACAATAAAATGTCACGCTAGTTGTACGTGTGTCCTTTTACCTAACATATTATCGATAATTCTACCAACATTAATACTAGGGAGAATTTACCATAGTAGTGGCACCAATACTGTTGTAGGGATGTGAAGCATGGGTTTTAAATGTTGCTGTCAGGAGGAGTCCGTTTGTCCCTTCCTTCTCACAGCCTGTTTGTCCCTTCCTTCTCACAACCTGTTTGTCCCTTCCTTCTCACAACCTGTTTGTCCCTTCCTTCTCACAACTGTGTCCTTCCTTCACACTTTTGTCCTTCCTTCTCACAACCTGTTTGTCCCTTCCTTCTCACAACCTGTTTGTCCCTTCCTTCTCACAACCTGTTTGTCCCTTCCTTCTCACAACCTGTTTGTCCCTTCCTTCTCACAACCTGTTTGTCCCTTCCTTCTCACAGCCTGTTCGTCCCTGCCTTCTCACAGCCTGTTTGTCCCTTCCTTCTCACAATCTGTTCGTCCCTTCTCACAACCTGTTTATCCCTTCTCACAGCCTGTTTGTCCCTTCCTTCTCACAGCCTGCTTGTCCCTTCCTTCTCACAATCTGTTTGTCTCTTCTCACAACCTGTTTGTCCCTTCTCACAACCTGTTTGTCCCTTCTCACAACCTGTTTGTTCCTTCTCACAGCCTGTTTGTCCCTTCCTTCTCACAGCCTGCTTGTCCCTTCCTTCTCATAACCTGTTCGTCCCTTCTCACAACCTGTTCGTCCCTTCTCACAACCTGTTCGTCTCTACTCACAACCTGTTCGTCGGTTCGTTCTGGTCCAGTCTTCAGTTACAATGGTTGTGTTGTTTGGATTGTGTTTGTTCAGTTTCGCTTCTACAGTTACATTCGCCACGTTCTCCAGCTCAAGACTCCACATTTACCAGTCATTAAGTCAGCCAATGCGAACTATCGCTGGCGGTAATATCTAAACTTGAGACGAACTCTTGTGGGTTAAAATATAAATTTATCCATAACTCGACATCATTAGTATTAATGAAGATCACAAAGTTAATAATCCCTAAGTCACGATCAGTAGTGGGAGTTAAGGTTTAGGCAGTGTTTGCTTTGTCAGGAGCAATATAGACTAAGGTTAGGTTATATATCATCATACCTTTGATGAGTTTCTAGTGCTTTTCTGCTCCCGAAACCCGGCCATGGGCCTGGCTAGGTTAGGTCAGGTGTGTCAGGAAACAGGACAAGTGTTTCCTGACGCGAGTCTTAGTTATATGATAACCCACATCTGGAACTTTCATCATCTAACAGAGACCTTCCGCTGGCGTAAGGTCCACCCCTTTAAAAATTATGGTGATAATTTTTACCCTGGTGTAAGTCATGTGCTGGACTCAGTTCTTGGACCTTTTTGTCATGGGACCTAAGTTATGCCCACGATTTTTAGTGCATGTGCATCTTTGGGTATTGTCCGTAGCTGTGGTAAAGGTACCTCTGGGCATGATAAATGAGGCATATGTGTAACACTTGGGTATCTTATTCTGAAGACGTTTCGCCAACCAGTGGATTTATTAGTTCAATACAGAGGATACTTAAACGTATTGAAACTGGAGAGAATGGAAGATATTGTAATCAGTCCCTCAGTGGCATAACTGAAGGAGTTCTCCGCTGTAGAGTTGATGAATCTGAAGCACAGGCAGGTAGACGGTCGCTCCTAGAGGAATGAGGCGAGGTGTAATAGTTGAAGGTATCATCACCGCGGGTGGGGCCCTCTAGTTGGAATAAGTCATGCCCAGAAGGTTAGACATGTTGAGGGCGGTGTTCTCTGTACCTGTGTACCATAGTGTAGCTGTGTCACTCGGCTATGTTAGCAGTCATGGTATGCAATACACAGACATCTATTTGTTTATCAGCTTGCTGGTATTGTATACCATAACTGCTGTTAGAAGCTGGGGTATATGTACCTCTGGGTATTGTTAGAAGCTGGGGTTTGAGAACAAGGTACAAAGACCCCTGCCTTCCTTCCTTTAATAGGGGTGTGGGTACCTTAATGTATGTTTCATCAAACACTCGCCCCACCCCTCACTATCGTCTCCTATCCCTCTCTCTTCCAGTGCTCATCAGCCTTACTTATCAGTTATCACGTTATAATAACCCCCATAATTCTTTTTACCCTATGTTTATTGATTATTCATTTTTACATCTATCCTCCTGTTTCATCCTTTCTTATCTTCCTGGAGCCTCTGCAGGAGAGAGGAGCAGCAAACTCCTGGGAAGGTCCCACTTCACCTCCTGCTGCTTCTCCTTGATGAGTCTCGACTCATCAAGGGAAGGTTTTAGGGGTTCTTATTGAAGTTCGGTGTTACCAAAGAGTTAACAGTGTTTGAATTGTTGTTAGAATTTGTTAGTGGTGTCAATGTGTTGTTAGTGATGGTGCAGAGTTCTTAGTTGTTAGCGGTGTCAATGTGTTAGTGATGGTGAAGGGTTTTTAGAAGTTGTTAGTGGTGTCAGTGTGTTGTTAGTGATGGTGCAGGGTTCTTAGTTGTTAGTGGTGTCAGTGTGTTAGTGATGGTGAAGGTTTCTTAGAAGTTGTTAGTGGTCTCAGTGTGTTGTTAGTGATGGTGAAGGGTTCTTAGTTGTTAGTGGTGTCAGTGTGTTGTTAGTGATGGTGCAGGGTTCTTAGTTGTTAGTGGTGTCAGTGTGTGTTAGTGATGGTGAAGGGTTTTTTAGAAGTTGTTAGTGGGTGTTCAGTGTGTTGTTAGTGATGGTGAAGGGTTCTTAGAAGTTGTTAGTGGTGTCAGCGTGTTGTTAGTGATGGTGAAGGGTTCTTAGAAGTTGTTAGTGGTCTCAGTGTGTTGTTAGTGATGGTGAAGGGTTCTTAGAAGTTGTTAGTGGTGTCAATGTGTTGTTAGTGATGGTGCAGGGTTCTTAGTTGTTAGTGGTGTCAGTGTGTTAGTGATGGTGAAGGGTTTTTAGAAGTTGTTAGTGGTGTCAGTGTGTTGTTAGTGATGGTGCAGGGTTCTTAGAAGTTGTTAGTGGTGTCAATGTGTTGTTAGTGATGGTGAAGGGTTCTTAGAAGTTGATAGTGGTGTAAGTGTGTTAGTGATGGTGGAGGGTTCTTAGTTGTTAGCGGTGTTGGGTCTCTGTACTCAAGTGTTTTGGTAATACTAATTTGTTTTTCTTCAGAACACCTAATTAGGTTGGTAGACAAAAACCATCCAGGGAAGTACTACCCTCCCTTTATGAGACACATACTAGATAGTAGGTAGACTACAACCATCCAGGGAAGTACTACCCTCCCTTTATGAGACACATAATAGATAGCAGGTAGACAACAGCCATCCAGGGAAGTACTTCTCCTTATGGACAATAGCGTAACAACCCAGAATATTACTCCCTTGAGAGACACATACTAGATAGTAGGTTGACTACAACCATCCAGGGAAGTACTACCCTCCCTTTATGAGACACATACTAGATAGTAGGTTGACTACAACCATCCAGGGAAGTACTACCCTCCCTTTATGAGACACATACTAGATAGTAGGTAGACTACAACCATCCAGGGAAGTACTACCCTCCCTTTATGAGAGACATACTAGATAGTAGGTAGACTACAACCATCCAGGGAAGTACTACCCTCCCTTTATGAG